TATGTCGTTTTTTTCGTGCCAAAAACGGCTTACTACACATCGTCGACTTTTTTGAGGCTAAAAACGCCTTCCTATACATGGTCATCTTTTTTTTTTTTTGGTCTAAAAACGCCTCACTCTACATTGTTGGCTTTTTTTTGGGCTTAAAACGCCTTACTATACATAATCATCTTTTTTTTCGGCTAAAAACTGTGTGTGTGTGTGTGTGTGTGTGTGTGCGCGCGCGCGCGTATACATCTATGTCTCTGTTTAAAATGTTGATTATCAGAAATGACGAAATGGCTGAAAAATATTTTCCTCGTGTCCGGTGAGGGGAAAAATTAGCATTTTGTGCCTTGAAAGGAGACTGATAGAACACTTTGAATACTACTAATGATGATGAACAAAGTGATGATCATTTTTTTCCCTCTCTCTCAGACTACAATGGCAGCGATCAGAAGACGGCCTGCAGAAGACACGAGCTCTACGTCAGTTTTCGAGAGCTTGGCTGGCAGGTATGCGACACGCGGACCTCGATCGTCCGCCTCAATTTGACGGAGCCTAATCCGACATTCCCGAAAGAAGGGCGGGTTTCTTTTCCGGCCACAGAGCCCAGCCCGACTTTATACTGGAATAAGATTGGATTGGGGGCGGCGGGGGGGATCGTCTGAATGTTATCGCGATGGGAATGCTTTCTGTGCGTCAGGACTGGATCATCGCTCCCGAAGGCTACGCCGCCAACTATTGCGACGGGGAGTGCTCCTTCCCTCTGAACGCCCACATGAACGCCACCAATCACGCCATCGTGCAGACTCTGGTACAAGCCACTCACGCGCCGAGAGTCTCTGGGTGCTTGAAGCGGCGATAAAGCGCTTTTGTCTTTCAGGTGCACCTGATGAATCCCGAGAATGTCCCCAAGCCCTGCTGCGCCCCCACCAAGCTCCACGCCATCTCCGTGCTCTACTTTGACGACAACTCCAATGTCATTTTGAAGAAATACAAGAACATGGTGGTGCGAGCCTGCGGTTGCCACTGACCCCCGACGCCGCCAAAGAGGAAGGCACGGCGGCCGCGCGGTGTCCGACGCGAATCCCAGCGCTGTCCACCCATCGCTCGGAAAAGGCTTCCACGGCGACGACCCGCGTCGTCTCACGGCAGCCCACGCGCCCCGAGGAACACCGAGCGTGGCGTGCGCCACCGCCACTGAACTGCGCTCGTGTGCCGCGTTCGTGCCACTCCCGTTCCTGTCGAGTCACCCTCTGACGGCAGCTCTTCGCAACACGTTAGCCACGTGGACAAAAAAATGCCCATTTTGTCTCACAGACACGTTACAGTGGAATTGGTCATCCTCAATCCGGACGAATGGCCGGTGCGCTCCCAGTGGCCCGAACGTTCTTCTCCACTCGGTTCTGAGTGCAAGCGCTGGCCAAAGTCCCCTCGCGGGGCGTAAAATGGTTGGGAGGTCAACCGGGGCGTTCAACCAAGGCAAACCTCCACCATCATTTGCAGCCAAATTCAGTTTTGGGGCAGCTTTCCTCATTCATTTGCTTCTCAAACGATATTTACACTCCCAAAATATCTAATACACGGAACCAAAGTACCCACATGCTATTTTAGCAACACCCTCCTCCAAATAAACCCTCCCGTGTCAATATTTGTGTGTTCAACACGTTGCATGTTGCGGTGAAAGGGATGTTCTGGTCCAAACAAGCGAAGAATCGGGCCTTATCCGTCTAACACGCCCACTTCTGGGTCAAGGGTGCAAAAATCATCATCCTCGCTTGTTTTCTTTGACTCAAGTTTAGGGGGTCGTTTTTTTTTTTCTTTTAATTGAACATGTTCCCGTGGAGTCTTTCAGACAATATATTTGAACCCAAATCTAATAGCGACAGGAAGCATCTCAAAGCCTTACGTGCCTAGCCAATCATCAAACACAAAATATACCTCTGGCAAGCTGCTGTTTACATTTGTGATCATGTTTGGGCTGTTCTTGTGTAAATACTTGTACATTCACGATTTATTTATTGCACTTTTTGTTAAAAAAAAAAAAACAAAAAAGTATATCGTATGAAAGACACATGGAGACACAAGAACCTATTTTAGATTTCTTTTATTATGAAATCTCATGTTAAACTTGCCATTATTTTATGGGGGGGGGGGGGCAGTGCACGACCCATGACTGCATAACACACAAAAACAAGTGTCACTGGAGTTCCGTAGACCATGTGCTTGTCATAAAGATTTACTGGCAAAAATTGCTGTGTGTGTGTGTGTGTATATACCTGGTTTGACTTTGTCACGGGGGTGGCGTGACCAAATCAGTGCTTTGACCCCACTGGGCCACAGAAAACACTTCCTTACACAAATGCAAACAAAAAGCAATTTTTGTAACAAACGAGCCCACGCGGTCCTCCTTAGGTGCTCGCCGCTCGAAGCGGCTCCACAGACCATTGTCCTCTGGAGGATGTTAGCCAGTACCGTTCAGGTTTTCGAGATCAACAGAAGCAGCAGAAAATAGAATGTCGTTTTGGGGTGTGGGGGGGGCTGATCTGCGTTCACGTCTTCAAGTCAGACTCCTGCGAGGGCGTCCCAAGCTCTTTCAGCTTTTTCCCTGAGACTTAAGTCACATAAGCACTGGTGAGACAACATTACCTGGTTTGACTTTGTCACACAAACTGTGTCAAGGAGCAACATGTGCAGCGCATTTCATTTACACAGTCCAAATATGAGGAAATAGTTCTGAGACTGTCTGACTGACTAGGTGGATTGTTCAACATCTCACTGGGGTCGCTCGAAGCGGCTCCACAGACCATTGTCCTCTGGAGGATGTTAGCCAGTACCGTTCAGGTTTTCGAGATCAACAGAAGCAGCAGAAAATAGAATGTCGTTTTGGGGTGTGGGGGGGGCTGATCTGCGTTCACGTCTTCAAGTCAGACTCCTGCGAGGGCGTCCCAAGCTCTTTCAGCTTTTTCCCTGAGACTTAAGTCACATAAGCACTGGTGAGACAACATCAATTCATGGCTTGCACTCAAACAACAGATCCCACGTGTACATTTAAAAAAAAAAAAAGCGGCTACACAAATCATGTCAGGAAACAACCGAGACCCCCTTCAGAAACTTCCTAAGTGGTTTTTCCAAGAACCAAGAATGACAAATACCCAAAGACCCAGTTTGGCCGCAGGAGGGACGGGCGGGTGGGCGGGCGCTGCGCCGACGCGCGGGTCCTCACAGCTCGTCCCTCGCTTGCTTCATGACAAATTTGTACAGGTTCTCCAGGTCGCGGGTGCCGCTATACTTGTCGCCCTGCTCGCCGGCGCGGAACATCACCAGGGTGGGGTAGCCTCGCACCTGACGAGGGGCAACACCAACAAACGGGCCTGTCACATCTGGCGCGCCGCTGCGCCGGGACTCGGCTCGGCCTCCTCGTTAACGAACGAACGACGGCAAACAAAGGTGGGTGGCCGCTCCGCTTTCCCTGCGCGTACTTACAGAATACTTGTTGCAGAGCGTGCGCTCCACCGTGCAGTCCACTTTGGCGATCTTGATGCTGGTCAGAGCAGGAAAGTCCTTGGCGGAGAGCTCGTCCCACACGGGAGCCAGACGCTTGCAGTGGCCGCACCTGCGCGGGAAGACGGCAAATGACATATCGATTGCTCCGTTGAATGCACGCGTGCCACGCTGCGCTCTCTTCTGCGCCACCGAGAATTGACGCCATCGAGAATCCTGTCCGATTTGTCGCGGTACTTTTAAGCCCCACCCTCTACCCCAAACTAAATTCATTCACTAGAAATGAAGTGACTTTTTTTCCCCATGGTGTGTTCTTTGCACTATCAAATACAACATCCGGTCGATGTCGATGAAATGTGTGCACTGCCTCAACTCGTTTTGATGTTCACAAATACTTGGCGTACAATTCAATTAAAAAAAAGAAACGGAATGAGCGCACTTTATATTCACATGTTAAGTGAACATCAAACCTACCACGGAGCGAAGAACTTGACAAAAGTGAATCCTTTGGAGATGGCCTCGTCAAAGTTGCTCTCCGTCAGGTGTAAGACGTTGGACTGCAGACAGGAAGCAAACAGTCAGGTGGGATCGGCGGCGTCATGGGTATCAAGACGCCCGGGCGGCTCACCTTGACCTCCTCCTGCTGGGCTTCCTCCTCTTTGACCTTGACCTCGTCATCCTGCTGGGCTGCCTCCTCTTTGACGTCAGCCTGCGCGGGCTCCTCGCGGGCTCCTTCCTTGTCGTCCGCGGGCTCCTGGCGGGCTCCTCCTTCGGCATCTTCCTTGGGCTCCTCCTGGTCTCCTTCCTCGCCGTCTTTTTCAGCTTCTTCCGGTGGCGTCTTTGCGGCGATCACCATCCGGTCCGCATATTCCTTGAGGGTGTCATAGTCTCGCTGTCCTTTGTAGCGCGTGACCTCGATCTGCAGCGGGAAGCACGCGGCAGCCGTCAGCTTCGGCTCGTCGCCGTGGCGATCGTCCTCCTCTCTGAAGGAAATACCCAGCCCCGTCGGGTTCGGGTCGAAAACCGGAAGCGCCGCTCGGAAAAGAAAAGTCCTGCGACGGATTCTCTTCGATCACACACCAGAAGTTGAATTGTCACTTGTAAGGTGCACGTTGTATTTGCGTGCGTTGTCTCTGAGGGACATTCAGATCGGTTGGAGGATTTGAATGCTTTGTGTGTGATCGACATGCCAAGCGGAATTTGGGGGGGGTGGGGAGAATTCACTTACTTTTTCCCGCCACTGTAAATGAATGCCGCGAGGATGAAACCGACGATACCGTTTGGAGCAAGAACGCAAGCGTGAACTCGGGAGCAGAATGGGAGGAGCTGCTCGAGGAGATGAAAATGTTTTGCATGGTAAGAAGGAACGTGAGTGACGCAACCAGTTGGAAACATACCTTGTCACCTCCCTTGAAGAACAGCAGCGTGGGATATCCGCGCACGCTGAACATGACGCACAGATCGTGGTGTTCGGCGCAGTCCAGCTAAAGAGGAACATTGGCATTACGACTCCCACAAAAGCACATCCGCCGAGAGAAAAGCGGGGGAGAAAATCGCCCACCTTGCCGATTTTGAGGTCCTCGGAATGCTCAAAGGTGGAGGCCATCTGGTCCCAGGCGGGCGCCATGGCTTTGCAGTGGCCGCACCACGGCGCGTAGAACTTGATGAAATGCAATCCTAAACACAAGGAAGGAGCCCATCATTCCAAATGGTGGCGAGAGAATCGACCCGCGCGAGCCTTTTCCATGTTGAGGCCGACATCGAGCTGGAAAAGCAAACGGGCAGCTCCAACCAAACTGGTTCCTCGGAGCCCCGTCCGACCGTCTAAGGGCGGTCGGCGGGGCGCGCCCCCCTCCCCGTAGTTTGGAACGGCGCCCCGTTTCCTTCTCCTCTGAGGCAAACATAGGAAGGACGGACGGACCAACGGAGACGGGCGGGCGTGACAATGCCGCTTCTGCTCACTTATTTGAGCTCGAGAACCTTAGCGGCGGAGACTTTGTGGAGGCGTTCTCTGCCTTGGGATCGACTCAAACAAATCGTCGGTTGACGCGAGGAGGAAGTGATCCAGACGGACGGCTTTTTGCCGGTCGGAACTCGAAGAGCAGGTTTTCTGATTCACCTCAGCTGACGCCAGAGAGCCGGCGCTTACTCTTTGCTTGTTCGAAAGGGGAGCCCAACCTTTGGAAACGTGGTCCTTGAAGTTGCCGGCGGAGAGCTCGTACATGCCGTCCTTGGGCTCCGGGGGAACAGCCGGCTCCTGCTCCGCTTCCTGGAGGACGCGGAAGGAGATGCCGTCAACGGCCAGCTTGCGACGCGGCTCGCGGACGCCACGCGGCAGCACTTACGGAGGACGGGTCCGTCTCCAGCTTCTTCAACATCCATTCCTCCAGCGCCTCCAATACTCTCAAGCCCTGGTACTTGAGAGGCGCCTGTTCTGGCTTGTACAACACCAGCCTACAAATCGCCCAAACAAAGTGCGACAGAGAGAGAGAGAGAGAGAGACGGCTTTCCATGTCACAACGAAATAGACCTTCAACTGTCATTTGGAGTGAAAAGGCAGCAAAATCGGCAGAGCAACGCGGCATTTTCAAACGCACAACAACACTAGCGATATGTCAAAACCAAGGCTAATCAATTGATATTATCTTCCATCGGAATTCTCAACGCAGACCCACAATAAACCAATCCACTTATCTATTTGGCTTGGAAAATGCACGTCAATTGTATGGCCATTTTTCTCACAGGAAGCCGAGCTTGGGAATTTTTTTTTTTTTTTTTGCCCCGCCTTTGCATAAATTGTGGATGAGTTGCAAGTAGGACTATGCAGCAAGATTTCCCATCTGGCACCGAGACTTAAATGTCATCATGGATGCAGAGATGGAGACTAGACTGCGGTTTTGGTCATTTTGTGGTTTAATCCCAATCAATTCCAATAACTTCATGTTGAATCCGCATCGGGCGGGAACTTCCGGTAGAGTGAAGCCGCGGAGCGAAAAACTCACGTGGGGTAGCTTCGGATGTTGTGGTCTTTGGAGCAGAACTTGGTGTTTTGAACACAGTCTATTTTGACGACGTAGGCGGGGGGATCTTCCATGTTGTTGTACTTATCTGCCAATTCATTCCATGTCGGCTGCAGCTTCTGACAATGGGCGCACCTGCACACAACAAAATGGGGAGTCACTTCATGTATGGGTGCCGGGATTGATGTGCTGTAGGGTTGCTCTCGTCTCGAACAAACCGCATACATTTGAATTCAACTTTGGCGTGGTTTTTTTTTTTTTGTACCCCATAAAGAATTCAAAACAGGTAACACATTACAGTGTTAATGGTTTGTGGTTTAACAAATAGATATGTTCAGTTGAAAACCATTTTTAAAAAAAAACCTTCGTTGTACAGCTGTAACGGCAAAACTGCAATACCCGTAAAAGTGATAGTTTAGCCGTCAGAATTGGATCCCATCCCATTCCTACTGTGGATACGAGGCACGAACTGCGGGAGCTGGAAGGTTTCCTGCATTTCTAAGGCAGCAGCGGTTTGTCTTTCAGAGCATCACAATGTGGGTTTGGAGATACTGCCACGTAGCGTGACGGGCTCATGAAATGGACAGTGGAATGGAACAAATGTCAACATGTACTTTTGAGGTGAATGAAAATGTGAGAGGAGCAAATGTCAGAGATGTTCCAAAGAAATACCCCAAAGAAGTGAAATCTGCAAAGTACAGTTTGATTTATTATGGGGTCCCCCCATCTACAATATGTTTTTGTTGATTAAGAAATGCTCTTTAGCCGAGCGTAAATGTTGTCATTTACTTTTCGTGATTACATCGTTTTTCCATTTACAGTACTGTGTTTTACTGTAAAAAAAATAAAGTCTGACTTGTTGACTACAATAATCCACGAAAGAGCGAAGCCAGGAGACATTTAACACAGTAAGAAGTTTATTATTCTAAATTGTGAGAACAGAACAATAGAATTAACATTTAGCACTTGTTCATTTTGCCCTTTACTTTTGTTGTATACGATATTCATGAAAATAGGACTGCTTTTCCATCCCATTAGATTGAGGCCAACAAGCGGGTCGCGGAATTGCAACGTTACGGTTTGCAAGCGCCGTTAAATCCAAAGGACAAAAAAAAAAAAAAAGTCCGCTTGTGCCACGTCAGCTCAGTGAGCTCACACAGCATCCCGACTCACAACTTTCAGCTACATCGGTTACCCTTTCCAAAAAAAAATAAATAAATAAAATACGAATAACTTGAGAGCGGCTGGCTCAAACGGTTACTAGCAAACTGTAAAGTGGATTAAAAAGGCGATGTTATTTCACGGCGAGGATATTCGGTTCACTTCGGTTGACGCGAGCTCACCGGGAGGTGTGCTATTAGCTTGAAGGCTAACTACAAGCTCAAATCGAACGGGGGGGGGGACAAAACAGCCAAGCGGCGACGAGCGTCTACGCTATGCTAACTAGCTCGCTAGCCCAAACTCGCCGGCGAGCTCAAGTGTCACGACGGAGCTTTCGCGACCCGCCGCGGGAGGGTGAACTTACCACGGGGCGTAAAACATGACAAAGTGCGGCGCCGTGGTCACCGCCTCGGTAAACATTTCCACCGTGTACGTGTGCTTGGCGTGCTCTTCTGCTGCGTCGTCTTCATCGCAAAGTACCGAAGAAAACAGTAAGCAATAAATAAAAACGAGGGTAAAAGGAGCGCAATTCAGTGCGGGCGCCATGACGAGTGTCTGCGAGTCGCTGCTGCTTCGCCGGCCACAATGGGAAGCGTATTCGAAATCCGGTTCAAGGTATGCAAGACGTGGACGGGGCGCGCGCGTTTGAAGCCTCTCCTTTTTTTTTTTTTTTTTTTTTTGCGTCCATCCACGCAATCACTGCGATGCGGAGATCCGCGAAAACCCGCGGGCGTTTGCTCTGCTCACCAGCCCGACTGGTTCCAACAAAAGTGGATCACGTTACGCAAATATCGTCTCGTGGAGGCGAAGAATCATCTGCAAAGCTTCTAAAAGTGGACCAAAATCATTGGAAAGATGTCGAAGTGCTTGGCGCAACGATTTGCTGGAGTTCGGTGTAGGCTGGACTGGTCCAACTAGTGAAAGTTTCGCAGCACATTTAAAATGATGAATGTGAGCCGAGCCTCTCGTGTGAAATATGTTCAAGTCCAAGCCGATGAAGTCATTGACGCGGGCAGAGTGAAATATGTCATTAAAACGTCATATACGAGACACACGGAGGAGATTTTTATTCACCTCCAAGAGAGTCAGACAAAGCCCTCATCACTTGAAATGTTTCAGCGTTCCGATGAGTTACGGATTCATAGAGCTCCTTGGCAGACAGCACAGCGGAATGTTCCCAACAAGATATTTTTTAGTGTGGGATTTGGATGACACAAGTACTCTTGGTTGTCACACCCAAAAATCGGCAATGACCGAGTGTCAGTCAGCTGCTGACCAATTGATTTCACCGGATAAAATAGGAAGAGTCAACCGCTTGGTGTCCAATTCCCTCAATGTGATGCTGGATGGCCATTTCAAAGATGCACGCCCCTTGCAACGTTTGGTCGGCGGCGGCGGAGGAGGAGGAGGAGTGGGCGCGGGCGTTGATTTTCGCCGGCTGCTACACATGAGTCGAGTGCAGCTCTAAGCAAAATATGGCTCGGGGGCCACATCAGGCCCATCCGCAAACTCCGACTGGCCCTCACGGAGACCATGAAGTCAAAGTCAAACCATGCAGGTTTTTTTTTTTTTTTTTTTTTTTTAAGTTGTGCTTTTATTTTGTGGGGTCTATGGGTGCCTGGACACCTGCCTCTTTTGCCGTGATGCCCAAGTGCCCCGTTTCCTGCTATAAAAATGCCACATGGCGTCATCCAGTGTTGCCATAATTTCGATAGGACTCCTACCCATATCAGGTTTCATATTCTCCATTGAGAAAGAAGAAGTAAAAAATGTATTGCAGTGACTGATGACCGCGGGAGGGGGGGGGGTGCCTTCACACCTCAATCAAGAGGTCGGCTTCTCATGGCGGGACGCGATCGTTTCCACGGCGATGGCACAAGCACACATCGCAACGTGGCACGAAGTGACTAAATTGCGACGGACGCTTTTTACATTTGCGTGAAGCGGGGGCCGCATATTTGAGGGGTGTCTCTTGGTTACGCATTATTGACGGGAGGGCGCCTTGCCGGGCCCGCTGCCGCCTACTTTCATCAGAAGAGGGAAGCTCGACGGAGGTGATTACCCCGATTGTGTGGAGGCGCTGGACATTTTGTCTGAGCTGGCGGGTGGCAAAATGAGGCACACTGAGAAATGGAGTCGCTGTGAAAAAAAGGGTTGAAATGTTGGAATTCTTCTTTGTCTTGGCAGAAGAGGGAGCAACAAAGAGAGAACGAGGTCAGCCCTGACTGATGCGTTTATCGCAAGCGCGGGGAAGCTTCAGGGAAGGCGAGGCAGCTTGAGAAAAATAAAGATCACTCAAGCGCTAACTTCATCTACCTTCAAGTCAAAATGGAACTTTTTTTTTTCCACTCCCCTGAGCTCATTCAGTGCCAAAGACGTTTTTTGGGGTTTGTTTTTGTTTGTGGTTTTACTTTTTATTGTCTTCCCCCATGGGAGGGTAAAGAAGGGAATGAAAACAGCTGGCCATGAATGAGTTAATGGCATCGAGTTGGCAGAATTGTTTTTTTGTGCACACTCACAATGATGGAGTGACAAAACGCCAAAGCCACAGAAAGCAGCACTGCCATCAAACGGCGTCCTAACAGGTTTGTCTGCAAAACAGCAGGGAACTTTCAAAAGCACCCTCCTCCCATGACTGCGCAATGCAATCCCGAGCCAGAGGACTTTCCACGAGGTCCCCATGACGGTGTCATATCCGGCCGGGACACAGGATGTGACCAACGGAGCGGAACCAATGTCCTTTTCCGAGAAGTCACGAGAGCCGTCGACACCTGTGCCGGGGATGGGGCTCGCCGACATCATCGCAACCCCCCTTCCACCCTTCAAAAATGCAAGCGGTCTTTCTATCGTTTGGTTTTTGACAAAGTGGGTGAAAGGAAGGAAGGGGAGGGAGAAAAGAAAGAAGAACAACGTGGGGGAGGTGGAACGCGTGGGGTAGAATGACAAAAAGTGCCACACGCTGAGTGCAAATCGGACTTTGGAGAGCTGAGAGAAGCGTTGACTGCTGAGCAAATGAAGACGAGAGAGCGAGAGGGGGAAGGCAAGGACGCCTTCAAAGTTGGTCAGAGTGGCTGTCGGAGTCCTTTGGCAGGGACGGTTTGGGCATCGGAATACCCGCACCCCACCCGCCTCCAGAACTCTGCCCCGAATTCATCAGGGTGCTTGAAACTGGAAAATCGACTCAAGCAAGACAGGCGCATCATGTCTCGACGTGGTCGATGCTGTTTCGGCCGTTTTTCGTGGCTGTAATAAAGCTTGCCTGCGATTCGGTTTTGAACTTGTGCGGTCCATGTCGTAACCAAAAAAAAAAAAAAAAAAAAACGTAACCGCACACAAAAACGCGTCCGTTGAGTGTGAGCATTTGAAAAGGCCCCACTTCCTGCTGGGGAAGCCATCAGGACAGACCGGTCCAACTAGGACAGAAAGGAATGCGGCGGGGCTAAAGAGGGACACGTACTCAGTTTGACGATCGCCGACCGAGTTCGCCAACAACGTGAGACTTCATGTCTTGAGTGTGACAAAACACTTTTGTTTCGAGCGCCGGTAAGTAACAACACGCGGCGGCGGCGGAGAAACGGCACATTTGGAGGTGTCACTTTGCATGCTGTGTTGTGATGTCAACAAGGGCAAATTTCAGAGCCTTGCGTTTTGGTCAAGATATACCCGCCTTCCACTCTGAAACCAGTTGGATCAAAAGCAAAGCAAATTGGGGGAAACAGCCAACAAATAAGACATATTGGCTTGTGGATTTCACCGGTGCACGTTGGGTCAACATTTGGATGCGACAAGGAGCGTGTATTTGTCCATGTGCGCTAACAAGTCGATGGCGGGATTTGCTCAAAAGAGGTTGGACACCCACCCCTAATGTATACTGTATGGTGGGTAAAAGACTGTCTCTGATTTTGTTTCCCTTTTGCACATGCTTGTAAGCCCCCCCACCCCCCCTTAATGTCCCTGCATTTATTTCTTGCGTCAATGTTTGTTAATATTTTCCTCAGCTTATGCAAAAAAAAAAAAAGAGGCTGTCACTCGCTGATTGGTGCTCCTGCTCGCACTCGTGGAAAATGTTAAAAAGGGGCCCGGGCTTCGTCCAGGTCTGGCCCGCGTTGCCGGTGAGAGGTGGCCGAGTTACAAAACAGATGTTTACTCTTTTTCACAGATGGCTTTTGTTACCGGTTCCTGTCCAAGACTGCATTGGTTTGAGCACACAGGTGGACAATCCAAACGTCTTCTTGTAAACACCAACTCGATTGTGTGCACGTTTCACCAAAGAAAGTTCGTATCTGCGACGGGGGTCTCACCATTCCAAAGCAAGTCAAGTCACCGATAAAATGACCCCATGGATCACAGGTAGGAAAGCGTATGTGTCTCAGATCCGGTGTTCCCAACTCTGCGACTTTCTTGCGTCATCGAGTGAGTTTTCAGAGCCCCTCGAGCCACTTGTTTCCCCAAAAGCGACAAAGGACAAACCGAGCGACTTTTTTTTTTACGGGTGCTATCGGCGATTCAAATGTGAAAGCGCGTCTTGTTCTTACTGTTGTTGACGTGCAGCGGGCGATTTTGTCGGGACTCTCTCCCGTCCGGAGCGCTCACGGGTGGGGGGGTCCTCTCATGGCCTGAAGGGGTCTGAAAAAAACAAAACAAAACAATAAAAACAATGAAACTGAATGAGGGCCAAGAATGAGTGACCATCATTTTCTCAACTGCCATTGCGATGTGTTCTATATTGTCTCTTTTGGGTTCGACTCACCTTTTGTCTTTCGCCGCGACGTGATTCCTCTCCAATGATGCAAATGGGGCGACGGCGTCCTTGAGCGATTTGTAGCACATCCAAGAGCTCCTTTCCTCCCCGGGCACTTGGCAAGGTTGCTGAGATCTGATTGGTGGGATGAGTGAGTGCAGCCCGCACACCTCAGGGCATCTGCGCAAGCTGTCACGGAGCGACCCAAGGTGCATCCACAGAAGCCATTCAGCCGTGTAACGCGTTCAACTTGGCTGTTGGGGACGCAGCAGGTGCCGGCGAGACTCGGCCTGCCGCTCGCTTACTTTGATACTCTTGTGTCCCCCGTTTCACCTTTCTTGCCCCCTTTTCGTACCCTGCCTTTATTTCTTTCCTCGTGCCTTTTGGTTTTGGACAACCTGTCAGGCCCGGTGTTTGGGTGAATGGGTTCGCGTTCATGAAATGCATCTGCTGGTGTCCCGCAATGCTTATCCTCAATGGTGTCAACGTGGGAGGGTTGGGGGGGGGGGGGGTTATTGGTCTTTGCTGATGTCGGGACAAGTACAAATCTGTGGCTTGCTGATGAAGTGCTGATTCCAAGAGAGAGCGAAAATCCAATTCCATTTGGGGCAGTAGCCCGTTGCCCCCATGACAGCACTCTTGCTCAGCCCTCCGTCGTCATGGTCACGAAAGCTGTTCTCGGGTGTGGTCCAACAGTACAGCGGGGCGGGACGACCTCAAAAATGAGGTCATTTTGACCACGGCGTTACAAGTGGATGCTAATTGTACTGTCGCGCTTTTCTACATTTGAACCGAAGACCATCAGGGACATTTCATGAAGAACCTGGCGACTGTTTTCCTCTTCGCCCCAGCTTTTTCCTATTTGGGCTCACACCATTTCGGAGGAAGTTCGGTCGATGTCTAATGGACCCACGCTCTCCGCGGCTCCAATTCTCCTGTAATGCACTCGACTTTGGAGTCAGCCAATCCTCCATCGAGCGTCGTCTCCAGTTGGTCCCGAATGCTGCCGCCGTCCCGTAAGAGGCGGCGCATCACTCCCGCTCCGGCATCCCTTCACTGGCTCATTTGAAGAGTTCTCTTGAACATCCTCTTCTTGGTTTTACAATCTTGCCTCGGGTCTGCCGACCGGACACAACGAGAGGTCGCGAGAACTAAGCGGAGGCTCGGAGGGGATGGAGCCTTTTCCTTGATCTTTTCCCTCTCTTTGGAATGAACGTTGGGCAAGCACCCCCCCCCCCCGAGTACCTAGTTGGTATTGAAAACAGGGAAAATTGATGCCATTGTTCGAATGTGTGGTTGGCAGTGAAGTCAGACATTCCTAAGCTTGCGGAATGTAGACGGCTGCAAGTTTTCTTTCTGCTGGTGGCTGACGACGGCATCCCCTCCGACTCCGGTCTTGTTTGCTTTGTGATAAACTACGCAAGGTGTTTGTTGATGCTAGACTCTTATCCGGTATGCCTTGGCCCCGGCCAACCTGGAAGGAACACCACGCCGGACTGACGCGTACTATTCAAAATATATAAATACACCCGGGAGGGTCAACAAGAGTCTTGTGAACATATACAAACGTGATTTTTATATCATCTCGCGACCTCTGCGATATTAATTTGAGTACGATTTTTGCCAAATAAATAGACACTTAAAAAAATACTTTTTTTTTAAAGTTCAGCGTTTGCCCTGTTTTTGCATAAACCTGCAAACAAAGAAATACACAGTGTGCCCTCATAGACAATTACGCAGCATGAAGAAGGTTTTCTTCACAGAGCCTCAGCGCTCTCAATTTAGTCCAAGACCTTTTCTTTTCTCTTTTTTTCTCCAATCCCTCTAATAAAAATGAAAATAGCATCCTTGTGGACGTATTAAACAAAGAGGATATCAATGTTATGGGCAAGCGCGATGCTTTGCGAAACGGGGAGCGCGGCCGTTTCCATTTTGAAATGCCGCCCGGTGCGCATTTGAGGCTCATCTGAAAGCGTCCGGGTAAGTTCCCTCGGAAAATGGCCATTTCTACATTCTTTCTACTGCAGCTTGGGGAGCGCTCCCGTTCCGCCGTTTGTTGATCGCGGGGTGAACATTCACGTTAGCCCAGGAATTCAGAGCACCCGGCGCCTGCGTGACCACCCGCCTCGGAAGGATCAAGGCCAACCCCGGGTGTTTTTATGCCGGGCTATTAACTTGGAAGCGCTGTGCTTTTCTTGACTGGCATTTTCATTTCGGAGCCTCCGTCATGGAGTGACGGGGCCCCATCTTGTAGCGCATTACAAAAGAAAAAAAGGCTGGGAAATTGTCCTCGGCGGCCAGGAAAGCTCGAGCCAATGAATGCCTTACGTGCCACTGTTCCGGCAAAACACGCCGAAATTCGTGTCGCAGAGACCTGCGTTTTCTCATCTGTCGGGCCGAGTGAAAAGGGATCGGGACGCAGGGAAACGCGAGTACTGGAAATGCGGCGGCTTGCTTGAAACTTTGGTACTGGAGGGGCCAATTTTATTTGCCGCAACATAAGGATGAAAGAGCCTCCTGCGGCTCGCCGACCCCTGGGCTCAGTGGAACCGCTCTTACACACTCGTCAGCGGCAGTTCAAATAGTTGACATTTAATGGCAATGAATGGGATCGGGGAGAGAGAGAAAAAAAAAGCCCATTTAAATTCTTGCTCGACATGCAGATGGCCGAGGCTATTAGAAGACGAAACTGAGCTCCGAGCCATGGTCCGCGCCCATCGAGTGGATTAAGAGGAAACGTTCGCCTCAGAACGGGTCCACGCTCGGTAAAGAAAGTTCGGGTTATGCGGCTATGTCCTTAGGTCGTGAGATCATTCAGTTGATCGGTGGCGAGGCCAGTAAGGAGAGGCCAAGAACAAATTTGCTTGAATTCATTTCTCAATCTGACAACATCCCGCCGAGTCCAAATTCATCCAAACAGTCCCGAGTGATGAACATTCTCACGTCAGGCTTGAGAAGAGGCCCCGCCCTGCTCTCTGAATTTTGGATGTGACCTTTCACGGGCTCTGTTTTTCTTTCTTTCTTTCCAGCCAAACCCAAAAATAAACAAGGGCAGATGAAACGGCACCTCGCTGGCAGAGGCTGACCATGTTTCCCGTCTTGTCACTTCATATTAGCTGATGACGAGCTGTCTCCGTGTTGGATGGCCGTGCCGTGCCGTGCCGCTAAGGCGAGAAGGCGCGCACGTGAAATAATGGACAAGGCAAACTGGTGTTGGCCCTTTTCCGTCAACATGGATGTGCCCTCTCTGATGTCGGGCACATCCAAGCAGTCGTTGGGAACCAAATGGGGGGGAAAAAAGCACCCGAGTGATACCTCAGTCCCCCCCAACAAAATCTTTCGTCTAGCTCCTGTGACAAAAACCTACAGCGGACCACTTGCCAAACTAAATACTGTCGGTGTAAAAAGTCGACACACTACTGGTCAAAAGGGATATTTCTGTGACCTAAAAAAAACCCGAGACCAATATAAAACTGTTTCAAAACTCCACGTAAGCTCCACGGACTTACACATGAATAAATTGCCGACGCCGCTTACTCGCTATCAGGAAAAGTGAAGCCGGCGGCGGCCATCTTACATCGCCACCGGCCAGGGCCGCCTAAAGTCAAGTATAGGACAGAAAGCGTGACAATCGATGTCTCCAGATAACCACCGCGTATGCCAACAAACATCAGGCGGAATCGCTCAAGCGTTGCAATGAATGTGAACACAAGTGTCATTGCGCTCTCTAGTGGCGAGACTGGTGGATTACAGTTCCATCAACAGCAAGACAGATCGACAAAATCGTGCAAAAAACAGACATGAAAGAGGTGCCTGATTGAGGTGGAGGAACTTTGTTGAGTTCCTGTTTCATTTCTTTGATGTGGTTATTTCATGTCATGAAGCGTCCCAAAGTGGCAGGCCTGCCCCGGACAATGACCGAAAAGCCCGCACGCCCGCACACACAATCCTTTTCATGTGCATGTGGTAACGTTAAACCAAGAAGGAAATGACAACCAGACGAACATCGTGTGTCACACGACGGTGTTATTCAGCGAAAGCAGCGGTACAAACGGCGGACTCGTGGCATCGGAGTTGACGTGGCCAAGCAAGACGATAAGCGGCCGTGGCCGATCATTCAAGCAACGTTCATCATCAACGGTGAGTTGACTTGAAGACGTCAAATGTTCCAAACACGGGTGAGCCGGTGATTACATTCTGGAAACCAAAGTCCCGTTTGCACTCACATCTTGAACGCTTGAGCTGTGCTTGAAACGCACCCGGCTCAATCCGGTGAAACGTGGCTTCCCTGAGAAAAACGATGCATCGGCGCCCCGCAGAATTTGGGGGGGGTTTCTCCTTTTTCTTCTCCTCGCGTTTGAAAGTGACGTAATGCAAACTTTTTCCTTGGGCTTATTCCGCACAGTCATTTGGGATGCTCAGTTACAGGACAATTTTCTTTCCTATTTTGAATTCTCTCACCTTAGCTTTCCTAAGCGCACGCACGCTCGCACGGCGCAGACAGGCACACAATGACTTAAACATCAGACAGCAACTTATCCAGGTCCTTCTTCTTCTCACTGTAGCGAGTGCTGATTTGTCCGACAGCCTTGGCGTGCTCTTCGCCCACCTCTTCCTTCAGTCGCTGCTGCTCCTTCAGGAAGTCTGCCCACTCGTCTTTCAGACGCTCCATATTTTCCTGCAGCTGGCCGCCCTGAAAGGACATCAACACGGGCACGAGTGTAAAAACAGAAATGGTCCAACGACATCAAAATAAACATCACCGATGAGAGGAATGTTCAGATGCAGTTGTGGTCGGTTGTATGATGTTGGCTGAAGTGCAAGTGGATTTAACATTGAAAAAAATAAAAATAAAAAATGGAGGTTGATCCCGAATTTGATATTTGGCAGAATGTTTTTGTTTACCATTGACAATTTAATGACGAAACTTCAAATGATTGAGTTACCGGCGCGATAAACTTTGCACGCCGCGTTGTTCTGTTGGACAACCTGAAGCCAAAACGTGTCCGGATGACCCAAGTTGTGCAACCTTCTCTGGTTCACAACTGCGTCAGGCGGTGAGCAGAGCCTTTCCTACGTCACAGTAAATGTCAGTTCACGGCGATTCCGTTAATGGCATGTCAAACAAACAAAGGAGAAAAAAAGGGCAAAGAAAAAGCAAAGCACTCGCAGGGGCTCATTCCGTTCGTGCTCAGGGAGCCGACTTGTCACAAAATTTCGGTGCCATGACGCAGGATGACGTTTGGACTCAATTTTGTTTGACAAAAAGTCATCGCATTGCAACTGCCATTTGGGGTGAAATATGAATTGGACCATGTTTCATTTAATGGCATAGCGTTTGACATCAAGTATTGGCGGATTTGCCTTGACCGCTGACTGCAAATTCGTCATGGTGTGCTTTCCTGCCAAAATCAGCACTCTGGGTGGAGCAACCCGAAAATATGGGCACCCCTCTCCAATCTGGCTTGAAGCACCTTTCCATTCACACACTCTTAGAGGCGAGTAAATCAAGCTCCTCGGGAAGGTCATACCCACGTTTAAAGTTTTTTCTCCTTTTTCCCCCCCTGCAGTCTTATGCAGTGTGCAGCGTGTACAGCACCGTGGTCGTTATTTAAACATATGGTGGAGAACGTTGGAGCTTGTGGACATTTTTTTTGAGGGAGGTGGGGGTGGTGACATGGTCACCATAAACTGCGAGAAGCGATTCCGCTTCAATCGCGTCACTGGCCGGCATTAAAAGAGCAGGTCTTGGGAGATTTTTAGATGGGCTCGTTGTAAACAACGAAAACAGTGCGCCCGCTAATCACCATACTTTTGATTGCTTGATTGTTCGTTTTTTTAAATGTATTTGTTCCTATGCCAGGCTTTCCAAATCTCTTGGTGAAACCACTCTGTGGTACCAAAAAGTTGGACTTCAGCATTAAAGTCGGCAGCCCCCTTTCTTTTTTCCGCTTTAATTTCGTATGCATCTTTTAGTGGCTTCGTTTTAGACGAAAAGTGTCGGAACTCATCAAAAAAAAACAAAAAAGTTTGTGCTGGAATGGGAGAATATGGGACGAAGGGGGAATTTCTGTCTGTGGACATCCAGTTGCCATATTCATTTACCTGCTGTGTTTCTAGCTCCCTCTGCTGGACTCTTTCTGCCATGTGATTAGCAGCCTTCACTGTGACAGAGAAGCAAAAGTGGGTGATCGGATTTGACCTGAGAGTTGCAATTCAGATTGAATGCAACTGAAACTGCTTTCTTCAGACTAGATGTTGTTTTAATATGCGTGTCACCACGGGAATTTGGGGAGCGAATACTTACATCGAGCAATGACATTGGAGAGCTGCCGCTTGACACCCTCCAAATCTGAAGGAAGCACTTCCTCATTTGCTTCTTGCACCACTTTACTCAGGCTCTCCAGTAGTCGGCTCTCTCTGTGAGCCCTTTTCTCCTGGGAAAGAGGAAATGTGTTGAAAATCTCTCTCACACACGCACATACACACAGACGGACGGACGTTTGTGCAATAGCGTACAAAGCAAGTGCTTCGTGAAAGGTTAAGGCCATTCAAATATATGGCGTGCTCACCTACAGGTAAATGTGTTAAGGCACTTGCCATTATATGTCAAACCAAATCAAGCATATCATTGTGTGTATGTTTTATCTTTTATACCTCGAATTCTCTCACAAAGTAACGGATCTCCGCATTGATAATAGGCCTGTGGTCGAGGAGCCGAGACTGGATATCACCAACATCTTGCAGGAGCAACAAAGAAAACACGCATACATTACGAATCAAGATTCGACGCGGGTAATCATAGCTGGGAGGTCCAGTTGCACTTACCTTTAATAATTTTGTCCATTTTTACTCCTAAAGTCTCATTTTAATTCCTGTTTGAGGTAGCGACCTGGACTTGCTAGCTTGAAATTGCCTCGGACACAGACCAAATTAATGCTTAGCTCCAAGCTACGAGCAAACGGGAGGTTAATTGCAAAACAAACCTCATCTGTGGCTATGCGTATGCCTTATTGCGTAGCATATAACAAATTAAGCATCGTATATTTAATCTTGGATGGTTCCTGGCTAATAGCAGTCACGTGAATCGAAATCAGCAGACTTCAGGGAGCCAAACACAGACTACCGTTTCCGGGTTCAGCGTAGTGGATTGTACCAAATCACTGGGTTAGGGGTGCGCCATTTAGTTGGACTTCGTTTATTGTCGTTTTACGAACTGATGGTGATATGTTTCGGAGTAACTATTAGTTACAGAAAGTCTGAGTAAAGCTACGATACTTTGGAAAAGACGCATTTACTCATTTCTAACTGTTATTGTCGTCAGGGGGAAAAGTGAAGGCGGGCTTTCTGTGGCCCAGCAGATGTCAGTCTCGCTCTGTGGAGAATCTCTTCGAAAACACGACCCAACACGCCCCGCCCCTTTTGACTGAACCCTGACGTTTTAATATATGCCGAGACGTGTACTCTTCCTTGATATCGTATTGAAAACAATCCAGTGTTTTTCAACAATAATTCTGTACACTGGTGAACTACAGAAAAAGTCCAAATCTTTTGCACATCCGAGGCCAAGGTGACCATAATATGGTCCGAAACATTCCTCTGGCGACCGCGTTGGAAATATATGCGCAAATTGTAAATGCGTGTGCATGAATGAATGCATAAAGACAACACTAGTGGCATAATAAAAGCGGGGACATTCATTGTGACAAGAGGCATTGTTTGGGCCAAACAGTTTAGGCCTCGCTCGTCCCGAAATTCATTAGGACTGTCACATTCAGTCAAGGACGAATCACGAAGGCACCACAAGTGCCCCACTGTCCACGTTGTTTACTCATACAGTTATTACATGCACCATTAGTTTTGATTTGGGCCTATTAAAGAGATTAAATGATTGATCGTTGCCAACGGACGGAAAGCAAACAAGACCTTCATTGCAGCCGGCTCTCGGGACTTGAAGAAGCACGAAAACAAAGAGACGATGTCAACGCCGGCTCGCGTCCACCGAGAGACCAGAGTGCACCTCGTCGCCTTGTTGAGTCATCGTTCTGCAGGGGGCAATTAAAAACATGAAAAGGGACAAGTGAAAAGAGATGGCCGTTTTCAACGCAGCGTTCATTTCAAAAGCAAATTTGCAGTTTGGATAGATGGAAAGGATATGACACAAACGGCTCTGTTGCATTTTTAAAATATATCCCCAAAAAGCGGTTCACATTCATCAGCATAATTAAAAGTGAATAAATAAAGATTTTTTTCAATCTTTTGGGAGTTTTATATGATAGTTTCACTTTGAATTGCGGATTTTTAAAGTGAACAGTTTTAGTCTCCCCCCCTTCAAAAAAAAAACAAACAAAAAAACATTCACTCAAATGGCAACAGCGAGCATCAACATAACAAGCAAATATGTCTTCTTCTGCATCATTATTTCCAGAAAATGTTCTGTAAATCTGCGGCTACATCCTGCAAGCGAGTGCCAGAGTTTTTTTTTTAATTGTCGTCCTGCAGCTTTATGAAGCAAATGTTTTTATTTGACACCTCTGCACGCATCCTGCCGGAAAATGTCACAGGGGAGAACAACAACGTGCAAAGTGTTTCGTGTTGATCTCAGCCGGCGTGAGTGCCTTGAAATGAACTGCACTCCAACCAAAAGCCCTTTATTTTGCCCCTGAGTTCATTTAAGTTTTAATTTTCTGGAAATGCAGATGTATGTTTTTTTAGTTTGTTATCAACATGGATATTGTACAGTGCAGATACTGTCATTGACAGAATTCAATCGAGCTGGTGCTTTGTTCCCCCTAATTTTTACTCAAGTGCAGGATTACAATCAATACTTTGTACACAAGCGATTTACTTCAATTTATCAAGAGGAAGTCTTTCCAATAATACATTCTAGGGCTCAGTTTCATATAACTGGGCCGTATTTGCCCTGAATGCTCTCACACACACACACACACACACACACACACACACACACACACACACACACACACACACACACACACACACACGTTACCCAGTGGGCATATTATTGTGTTCGTGTGTGTGTCTTTCAGGTCCTGACACCAAAGGTCGAGGAGTGGGGGCAGCGGCCCGCCGCTTACGGCTCACAATAAATACGCTCGGTGCCACTCGACACATCATGCCTCTGAAGGGGGGGGGGGATTTGTGTCATCACTGTCGGTTTGAACAGGGCTCCCCAACCTTTTTTTGAGGGGGTGGGGGTGGGGGGTCACGGACCAGCTGAGACAAGTGCATGCTGTTTGCAGACCGGCAACCATTTTTTCTTGCCATTGCTTTTAAATTGCCCCGTTTTAAAGAACAGCTACTCACAACAAAGATAACGAGAGAGTCACACAACATTTTATTTATCGTTTTTTTTTTTTTTTTTGTTATTCTACTGTACAACAAATGTAGAGTAAAATGAAATCACAAAGTGACCTATTGAGAAACAGATCGTTCGGGAATCATCACGATGGCGGATAGTGTAAACGGAATCATTTTGAAGTGACGATCATACGTGCGGCGACACCTGCAAAAAGAGGACACGCTGGCCGCTGCCGGCTCGTTATTAGCGACAAAACTGCTCAAGTTGACGTGGGCGGGCTGCGCAAACTCCTGCTGGCATTTTTTTTTCCCATGCTTCCCACTTGGTCACTCGGGTGCCACTTGTTCAATTTTTCAACGGGTTTGGTTGTGTCGTCTCGCTTTACTTTGGACACAACAGCTTCCTCCTCCACGTGGCCAGGGAGGAACTACTCCTGTCCGAATGGCTTCCTCGTCAGAAGTCACGGCTGCCCGTCGGCTGCGCGTTTCGCTTCCATCGGTGACCCTTCCGCACTACGGCTTCTTCATTCGTTCATTGGCGGATTTGCACTTGCGAAGCAAGATGAGAAGAGCGACTCGGATTGGCTCGAGTGGCGCACATTTCCGTCTCTGTGCGGCAGGGTCCCAAATGGGCCGTGGTCCGCTGGTTGGGGACGCCCTGGGTGAGAGGATCAGGAGGGGACTCCGCCCTTGGCCGGGCAGCAGATCGTTGCGGTGCCACACACACCTCTTTCTTGACCATCTTCACGCCGGAGGGAGACTATCGGGTCATGCGGGCACAGAGTGAAAAGTTAAAGTCGTGGGTGAGACCGCAAGTGTGGCAGGAAGGCAGAGCTTAAAACACACGCACACACAGTGACGAGCGTGGTACTTTTCAAAAGGAAGTGCATGTAGCGTGACTCTTTGCTGCCACTGTTCTGTCCCAAGGCATGATGGGAAGTCAAAGCCACGGCTTGAAAATCAACATATGTGCTCGTCACTGTGCGCTTTTCAGGGAACATTTTTGATCTCTTTTGCTGCAAGAATGGAAATGAAACCTTGTCAAAGGAATCTCAACTTGTGTTCAGAGAGAACTGTGTGTGTGCGTCAGAGAGTCAGACGAGCTCAGTGTGTCAGAAACCATCAGCGTCAACTGCCTTTTCGGGGCTCATCCAGCAGATGAACGGGACCCGGGATGTCATTTTTGTGTTTTTTTGTTTTTTTTTTCCTTCCACCCTCCACGGGGGCCCGTCCTCCAGTCTGTCCTCAACCGCCCCAGCACCGGGAGGGATTGGCCTCTTGCCTTGACCGAGGGCAACGGGCTTGAGGACGCTCTGGACCTGTTGAAGCCCAAACGGCCGCAATCCAAGCGGCGCGCAGCGCACGGCGCTTCTGTTCTGAGCGGGGATAATTGCTGTCTGCCCAGCAGAACATGCAAAAACTTGAGCCGGACTTGGCCGGCGAAGCTTTTCCCGACGCCTTTTGAAGTTTGCGCACGTTGGGCGTTATTGGACGCGGGACAGAGCAAGAAGGCGAGGAGCAGGAAAAATAGGAATTTCGATGTTTTTTTTTTTTTTTTTTGAAAGAGCCGATGTGCCCCGAGGTCACGCATGAAGCGCAAACATCCACGCGGGCGCGCACACACTTCTTGCTGCTGTGGCATGTTTGGAGCGGTGCCTCGTCAGATTAGGGCCACGCTGGCTGTGTTTGATGGCCAACCTGGACAGACAAAGCCTGCCAGGCACAAACTGCTCAGGCACATGATGTCAGGGTGTGCACGCACACACGCGCGCACGCACTCACACAAAAATTCTTCGCCAGCCCAAAGAGACAGATGACACCCAGCATGAATCTAAAGCCAAATCTGTAAGCATCCGCTGCGATCCAGCTGGCTCGCCCTAGGGTACCTGTCTCGGCAAACTGGAATCAGCGTCACCCCCGTGAGCTGTCAAATTAGCTCACAGGGCTGGAAATGCTGAAGCGATTTGGCCTCTCATCGGGGAAGAGGGAGCCAATGGGGGAGGGGAGGGGAGGGCGGGCCTCCTATTAAACCGGCTTGCTCTTTGGAGGAAAAATGGTCGGAAACAACTCCGCTTGGGAAAGGTGCGCTCGTTTGTTCGGCGACGTGCTGGTCAAGATGCTCTGACGCAAAGCAAACGCGTCCTCGTCAGAGATGAACGCACACCGCCAGGGGCAAGCTTTCAGTTCTCGTCCAGCAGTCCCCCCGGGAGCCATGATGGATCGGCTTGGGTTGGAGTCCCACCAAGATGTGGATGGATTTCTTTGATTTCTTTTCTTCCACTTCTGGTCTCGGCTTGGTTTGGACTGTCAGGCAGCCAACCGAGAAGACCAAATAAGCGCCGACACCTCCTCTCTGCGGCGGAGCAAGTCGAGCAACTGTTGAATGTTCCGGTACAGAGAGGATGAATGGCTGGCGCAAGGAGACGCAACATGAACTTTGACACCAAAACCAGCAGGCGCAAACAAGACACACGCCTTCCGCCAAAAAGAGAGAGAGAATATTTACCACTGAGAGAAAAGGTGACATACATGGAGGTAGTTGTAGTCGAATTGAAGCCATCTCGCGCTTGCCCTCCCATTTGGTCCCTTGTCTTCTCTCCGCTGATGTTTTCTCCGCAGGGGTTCGGGTCTCTTAATGTCCTTGACTCAACTTGAGTCAGTCCTGACAGCGACGGTGCCCCATAGAAACACACTTGAGAGCACCTCAACGTGAGCGTAATGGAGGGTTTGCGGGCAAGCTCCATCACGCAGTGTGTCACTGAGAGCCAAACATGGCAGGGTGCACACTGCAGCACACCTTGAAGACGACTTAC